TTTTTCTCCGTACTATACCACTTCATCTCATTGGTGAAAGCTGTAAATTTGAACCTTGACACAAACCAGTTCTGGTAGTCTTTGTTTGTGAGGATATAATGGTTCATTCCACATCCAAATGGGAAGCTCATCTTTGCTGGTCTCGCGATAACTGTAGCTCCTTTCATTGCTATTCCATTTACGTAAGTTATCTGCAATCTCAATTTCCTCTTACGTATCTGCATGGTATATAGATCAAGACTCGTAATTTCTTTCCCTTCTACAATTTACTAGTGTATTTGTATATGCAATTTGTTCTGTTATTGCCTTCATTAATTTCAATTGGTGAATTTCATTTTAGTAGCAATACAAAAATAAATGCAATGATTCTTTGTAAAGCTCTGGGAACTATGAGAAACTTGGTTTAAAAAAAAGTCCACCTAATTTTGGCCGCAATGTCAAGGTTTTTGTCGTCTCTGCAATCATAATGCAACCACAACTGTGGTCACATTGGCAACATTTGTCTATAATTTTTCGTAATATCAGGGATTGCGATGAAATTATAAGGGCGTCTGCAATATGAAACCTCAATAGGAAGCATTTACTTTCATGTAAATTCCAACATCTATAAGGAAAAGTGGGATTTGCATTATCTTACCCTCTCAATGCTGGCGTCTTGCAGTGATCTCCACTGCTTTTTAGTGAATGGTTGTAAGGAGACATTGTCAGCCCATATTTCCACATTGGAATTCTTGCTCTGTATAGTTGAATGAATTTTAGTTGAGAAAACAGATATCTAAATACACCATAAAAAAGGATCTCACGCAATTCTCAAGCACCTATAATTCCTTTTATTTTACATGCATTTGATATACACAAAAAATTTGCATGCCTTGAATAGGAACCTCCTAGTATCCTAGTTTGCTTGTTTAAAAATATTTGAATGGTAACATACATAGTTTCTCTTTCACTTTTCAGTATTTGCACATGAAGCTGCTAGAGCTAGTAAGTATTAACAGCTAACCCTCTTGTGCACTTTTAAATAGCACGAAAGGTTTCTGCCTCGTGTGCATGTTATTTCATTCTCAATAAGAGTGTTAAAAGTGGGCCTGTAATTTTATACTGGAGTTGAATTTTGAGGAAATATGCAAAGTAAGACAAGATGAAAAGCATAAACCTTACAACACTTTTTCTTGAAACAAAAATATGAAGGATTAATTGCTTGAATTAAATATGTTTTGATTCCTTAAGAAATATCAGAGTTTTATTTTAGTCTCTATATTTGTTTTTCTGGGAGGTATAAATCTAGAAATGTATTTCACCTTAAAAAAAATCTCAACGGGGCTGGAGAAGTTTGCAACTATGCCGCCTTTTAGAAGAGTCCAGCATCCATGTTTTGCTATCACTTGGCCACCTATTTCACTTCCTTTTGATTTGAATATAACTGACACAGTGTCACTTCCTTCACTGAGCTGAAACCAAGCTGAATGTAGAAAAGGAAGGAAAAATAATCACTCAAAATGTTTCAAAAAAGTAATGGCCAACGTGGCAACACTCTTCAAATGAATTCTGGTGAAAGAGAAGTCATATGACTCAACAATGGAGAAAGTGAAATTACCAGAAAAGGTGTATATCATTCCTTTCTTAAGATGGACCTTCTGAGAGAAACTATCCAATGGCTGTGTTCTGTTGTATGCAACGATGAATCTATTGCCTCCATTGGAAATTCGTTCCTTGATTGCTCCTTTTCCAAATACTGTCCAACCCTTTATGTTGTGATCAAATCCTGGATTTACTATAATGCCTCCTCCATACTGTGCTCTCTCAGGTTCTGCCAAACACTGCTTGTTTTCAAGGCAATGGCAACACATGTAAGTTTGTGTATTAACTGGTGACATTGACAGAAACTACCACATACCCATTTAAGTTATGAATTCAATGTTATGTACTCTAAAATAAAATAACAAGAAGACCATTTTGCAACTTAGAGAGAATACTCTAGTATATGAAAGTAATGGGTGAGGAAGTTTTATTGCCTTTATATTAGCAGAATAATCATAAGACAAAGAATGGACGCTGAGGCCTGCATGTATTGAGAAGATGTATTAGTTAGAGATTCTATATATATGTGAATGAAAACTTACGTGACATTGAAATTGAAAGAGAGGGAAGGAAGGGAAACCTGAGATGAGTAAAAGGCAAATGGTAATGCACAACAAGTTGCAGCCTTCTGCAGCAACCTTCATCTTTTCACTAATCAAATAAGACTTAACACACTAAATTTCTTACTAGTATCAGGGGTATATATTGACGCTGGAAATTAGTAAAAAAGAAAATGGTAATCATCAACTTCGCTTAATGCACATTTACGGGTTATGATTATTAGAGTAATTCAAGTATAAATACCTCTTACTTTTTCTATCCTACAATTTTATATTTCTTATTTTTTCTATCCCTATAATAATCTCATTTAATTGTTTAAAAATATTATATTTTCGGATACATACAAGTCCCACATCGATAAAATAAGAGAAAAAATAACAACTTATAAAGTACACACATACTCCAATGTTAGTGAGACCTTTTGGGTGATGACCAAAAGCAAAACCATAATGAACTGATCATTGTGGAGTATGTTTATGTAATAACCTTATAAAAATAATTATCATAAAATATCTCCTCAGACAAATACCATAAAATAATCTCAACATATATTGTGACCCCTATAAAAAGAGATTCTTATAAATTTTTAAAAAAAAATAGAGGATAGTACAATTTTGTAAAATTTATAAGATATCAATGTAATTTACGTTAATAATTAAGTAGAGATTAGCGCATAATGCGTGAATCTAAAAATCTCAGCATATAGATATTCTCTCCGTTTTTTATTCATAGTCATTTTAGCATTATTTTTTTGTTCTTTTTTCATTGTTACTTTTCTAAAATTAATGACTTATTAATTTTTTTTTCATTTTTACCATTGATAATTAATGTGTGTTTACTGAACAATGTGTTTATTCATTTTTCAATGTATATATTTTTTCTCCAACTACCTAAAAGGTATAGCAGAAAAATAAGTAATAAATACTTTAAAAAACTAAAATATTAATTATTTTCTTAATTCTTATACATAACCTTAAACATCAAGCAAAAAAAACAAAGGGAGTACTTACAAGTTAAAACAAGCAACAAAGATAGAATCTTGTTCTCAAGTTGATGAACAGTTTATTTAAAAAAATAAAATTAAAAAAAAAGCTAATAATTATTATATATTTTTAAAAGCATAAATATAAGAAAAAAAGCTAGTTAATAAAATACATAAATGTAAGATATGTAAATTATCAAAATCTACAATAAATGTAATTCATATTAATAAAGTAAATATTCAATTCTAATAAAAAAAATTCTAGCAATATTTAGATAATTATACTTAAATTTTATCCTAAATTAAAATTCTGTAGATATTATTTAACTCTTAACCCGGTTAAACTCTACTTGTTAGTTAATGTATCTTATTTAGTCAAGTGAAGTTGACCGTATCGGTTATAGATGTTATTTTAAAACACAGAAATACATGATTTGCTAAATTAATGGCATAGAAAAAGCTCATTTAATAGTAACTGAACTGAAAATGCTCATTTGTAACGGCTAGACAGCATTCCAATTTCCAATGTAGTAACTGAACTGAAAAACCAGCAAACCAATCTCAATGTTAATCAGGACGAAACATTAAATATTAAGTTTATTAGATCATCTCTCTTATTTTTTTTTAAAAACATTATATTGTAACTCCTGTAAAATAAATTATTGTAAATGTTAAAAAAAATAGTGTTAATACATCTTCATAAAATTTCAGAGAATATCGATATAATTTAATAAATACATTTAATAAAGATATTTTTATATAGAAAATTAACTTTCAAGACAAAATAGATTGTCTTACTCTTACAAAAGAAATCTACCCAATTCAAAAAAAAAATTGAATCTTATAATATAATAATAAGAATAAGAGGTATTATATTCTTATTTTTTTATTTTTTGTTTTTATATTTGTTGTCAAAAATTTTATTTCACGTTGCATAAAGAGGATGGAATTGGAGAAAGTAAAAATGAACACACAAAACTAATTCCGATGTTATTTCTATTATTTGATTGAAGAAAAAAAAAAGTTAACTTTTAAAGATATAAATTCTTTTATTCCTTCTACAATTTCTTTTGAATAACTCAAGTTCAAATTTTTTATTATTGGAGGACTCTAACATGGCAACATGAGTTGCTTGAAGAAGAGAGAGAGTTGTTTCCTCAAGCAACCGTTCCTTACCAGATTTCAAGCAGATTTTATTGAACATATTTAGAAACGTTTCAGAAATAATAATAATGAAAATTAATTTCGTATAATGTTTGTGTATTTACTATTGCTTTATTTTATTTTTAATATCTAATTATTGTGTATTTTTTCTCGTAATTTATTTTCTTTCATTGTAGTGCAATTATCATTTTTAATAAAAATTTAAATTTAGTTCATAAATGATTAAAAAAAATTCTAAAAATTAAATTTTTTAAAGTTTTTTATTATAGAAATAAATTTGTGTTTGAGTTGCTTAATACTAACATGGCACACTAGAGACTACTTTTTTCATTTTTCAATGCATGAAACAACTCAAATGAGTTACTTCTATTAGAGATGTCCTTAACGGATATAACATGTATCATGTTATGTGACATGACATCATGATACATAACATGATATTATGACATAATACGTGACATGACATCATGACACGTGCTATAATAACATGACACGTGTCATGACAACATGAAGAAGAGTGTACTTGACAGAAAAATGTATTTTTACCATAACATTATCAAAGGCAACAGAAAATAACAAAACAAACAAATATTGCAAAAAAAAGAAGTAGCAAACACAAATAACAGTAGTAGAGTAGAAGAGTACTGTACTTGTAACTTCGAGGCCATTGCTGAGAAGTGAAAGAGTGACGACGGTGCGTTGTATCATTTCCCTCGTCATCATCACTGCTACTTTCACTCTCTATCGTTAACTTTGCACTTTCAATATCTTGTTGTGCACTTTCGTTGAAATCATCCTCGAAGAAAAACTCAAGGTCTTTCTCCTTCTTGTTGCTCTTGTTCGTGTTACAAACCATTGTTGCAACACCAGCCGCAAACGTAAAACTCGGGACCTCTTTTTCCACTGCAATCAATACAGAGCATCTATATAAAACGACAATTGCCAAAACAAAACAAAATCTCTGTATAACGACAGCGTGGGACATTTGCTAGCAACTTGACAAAAGCAGTGTCGTTGAAACTTCTAGGTCTACCACATGATATACTGCTATTACAAGAGTTTATCAATAATTTTATTTCGGCACATATCATGCCACGTCTACTAATAACCATGCAATTTTGATAAATGAAATCATATCAGTCATCACTTTTGTCCTCCTAATTCTGTAGATTCCTTATATAGCCTTGCTAAATTATAAATAATAAGCACTATATCATACTTAATTAAAAATCATGAAATTTCTAACAAAATGTGAAATGAGATAAGGAAAACATGAGTAAAAAAACAATAGTTTTCATTGTATAGTAAAGTGCCGAACACTGTTATAAATTGTCGGCTTTGAACCTGGGACTGAATGAGTTAAAAGAAAGAAAATTGCGCGGCTGCAAAAGTTTGAAAGTTGAATGAGACGAAAGCAGATGGATAAGGATCGACAGAACTTGAAGGCAAGAAGCCAATTTTTTCTTCTTCTTTTTAATCGTGAGAATGGTGGGCACTACTGATATAAAAAAATAAAAAAAAATGGATATGCTCATATTTTAATCTCTTATTTATTTATTTTTCTCTCCCAAAATACTTTTTCCCTTACTTTAATTTTTATTTATTATAATACTATTTTTTCATATTTTAAAAGATCTTGATAATTTTAAAAAAATTGTTGAAGTAATATTTTTAATTTTTTTTTCTATAATCAATTATTACTAATTAAAAAAGGTTATGAATCGCATGTCAATATCATGAAAATAAGATACTTATCCCAATAATTAAGTCTTAACAGAGTTACTGTACTTAATATTTTTTTATTTATATTAAATTTTAATAATTTAATTATTAAATTATAAAAAAATTTAGTGAATTCATCAAATTTATAAATTTTTACAAAAATTTAAAAATACGTCATTACATTAATTCAAATGGACATATATTTTTAAAAACATACTATACATTAATTTTAATTTATGTATAAAATCATCATATAATTTTTAAATTTTGTAAAAATTTATAAATTTAATATATTTATCAAAGACTTTAAATTTAACAATTATATTGTTGAAATTCAATGTAAATAGCAAGTTATTGAATATATGATTCTGTCACGATTTACTTTAAAAGTAAACGAATCTCTTATCTTTTTCTTAATATATTTTTTTATAAACAAATACATATTCAAATTTACATTAAAATGGTAGTAATACATGCAAATATACAGTATGGTGCTAGTACACATTTAAAAGAACGAAAAGAAATAAGAATATATAATAGAAATAAAGAAAAATTTATTGTCTAAATTTTGTATTTTAATTAATAATTTAAGAATAAATTAATTAAAAATAAAATTAAGAAATAATGTGAACGTACTAAAATAAGTAAAAGAGGAGAAATAGAGAAAAAAGTATATTGTATATAGTGCGGTGAACTCGTTGAAAAATGGGATAAATTGTCGACAATTTATGAACCTGGGACTAAAAAAGTGAAAGGAAAACAAAGTAATAATATGCGAATATTTTTATATATCACATATTATATTAATATTTATTATCATGACTTGAACAGGTCTTTTTAAATCTAGAATCTCATCTATCCTTAGAATTTATTCTAACAGTAATAAGTCATATTTGGGTAGTTTTTTCAAAATCATTTCTCACATCTTTATAGGCTCTAGAATTGATTCTGGAAGTTAGATTTTATTGTTTCTTAAAGTTAATTATTGGTATGGATCCAAGCAATTTTGCTAAAATATTCCTACAATCAACATCATAAAATTAGTTTTGACAAATTCTATGTTACACTTCTAAAATTATTTTATTTTACATAAGGGGTGTCGCAAGTGATAAGATAGCATGAGTTGAATAGTTGGAGGGTCTCTGCAGCAGGGCTCCATAAGAATACTTAGTAGAACATAATCTCACATGTATGGGATTTTATGTTGCCAAAGATACAATATTTTTTTTCTAGAATATTCCTATATATAACATTAAGTTATGTAATAAAATTATCCTTTTAAGGAAATTGGGGTGTTACACATTCAAATTTTAAATTTTCTTTCCTCACTCAAATTTTTTTTCCATACATCCAAACGGGTCATAAAGGAGAAAAAGACTACTAAGGACCCTGAGAAAGGCGACTTTGTAGAGGGCAAGAGACTGTGAACGGATTTTTAAAATTAATCTAGTCCGTTAATTTTAATTTTATAAAATATACATTCTAATTAAATAAAAAAATAATATCAAATATGTATTCTAATTAATTTAAAATATATATAAATATTAGTTTAAAAAATGTACAATAATAATTTTAAATATATATATATATAAATAAAATAAAATAATTGTTAATTAAGTAATTAAATTATATATATACATAGGGACAGAGGTTAATACATGATAGATTATAATTTTTTTTTTTATTAAATGATAGATTAGAATTTGAAATTAACTTTACTAAATTGAAAGGTGGGAGTAACAAGTGCCCTTGTGCCGTTTGTTTTGGAACTGTATATGATCACATGATCCTCTGTCAACAACAAAATGCAGCCTTCTGCAGAAACCTTGTCAGTAGTCACACTTCACCAATCAAACAACTCTTTCATTTACATTTATGTTTAAATGTGTTTTTTAAACATTGATTTTAATCTTTTAAAATTTAATCGAGTAATTTTAATTTTTCAGATTTTATAATTATAATAATCAGAAATAATAATAATGAAAATTAATTTCGTATAATGTTTGTGTATTTACTATTGCTTTATTTTATTTTTAATATCTAATTATTGTGTATTTTTTCTCGTAATTTATTTTCTTTCATTGTAGTGCAATTATCATTTTTAATAAAAATTTAAATTTAGTTCATAAATGATTAAAAAAAATTCTAAAAATTAAATTTTTTAAAGTTTTTTATTATTGAAATAAATTTGTGTTTGAGTTGCTTAATACTAACATGGCACACTAGGGACTACTTTTTTCATTTTTCAATACATGAAACAACTCAAATGAATTGCTTCCATTGAAAATGCCCTTAGTTATATTATATTTTCTTGTAACACATGATTTTATTATTATTATTTAGCACTTACTTTTGTTTTAAAAATAAATTATTACTTGTTTTAATTTTTTATTCACATTTAGATTTTTTCCTTCAATTTCAATTTTTTTTGTATCCTTTATATAACTTTTTTTTTTCAATCTGAAATATCTAACATTATACAATTATACGCCGCTTTTAAGATCTTACCCATCTTCCCTAAATATAAAATATTTATATAATTATGTTGTTGAATTTTAAAAATTAATCATATGTATTTATCATTATCTTAATTTTATTCTTTCAAAATTTTATTTTAATAAAATTCTCCCCGCAATATATAAAATTCGACTATGTATCCTTTATTGTATTAAAAAATTTCGATAGAAGAGAAATACATACAAAATGATGTTGAGTGTGAAATTTTTTTAACCATTCAACATTTTGGTATGTATTTTTCTCCTACTGAATATTTCTTGTACATACACACTGACCAAATATGTAGCAATTCATTATATAGTTGCCATGATAATTTAATAATACGTTAATTTAGATTTGATCTAGTCATATGTCGTCACTGACATTCTGTAAAATCTAGCACTGCTAATTAATGCGTTTAAATTCTACCAAATTGTCCTTTTGCTGTATAATCCCAAAATTAAAGGGAAAGCAAGATACTATGATGTCTACTGTTTGACAAACATGACAGCAGAATTTTGTTATATGTTATTTTATTTAAAAGGAAAGCTATTATTCTATTTTTTAATATAAAAAAGGCATGGGAGATATTATAATGATAAGCAATTTAATAAATAATTAATCGGATAAAAAGTTAACAAGGGTCCGCATTTTTTTCCCCCTTGTTCTTATCTGCAGCCTACTTCTGCTTATTTTGATGGTTATTTATATAATATAATATATCTTATATAAAATTCATTAGGGTAGGCAAAATATGAACAATTGGATTAAAAAGGAGCAGTATAGATGAATTCCAAGTATCGGAGGTTTTTAATTTAAGAAAGTGTTTGCTGAAATGACGGGTGAAAGTCGGCAGAGACACTAAAGGCATACTAAAATGTGGCAGACTATTAGTAGTGAAAATACGTTAGTCGTTGCTCAGGTGTTTGTCACACGGTTTATTTTGTGTTTCTATTAGACTTTAAATTTTATAGAATTAATTTTATGACTCTAATCTGAATTTGTTCGATACAACCATTTTGTATTTCATTTTAACTAGTGTAAATTATTCAACATCAATTAGACTCAAGACTCGTATTTAATATATAATCTAGTTATTAATTATCATAATTAAATATTAAAATATAGTATTCAATAATAAATAAATTAATTATTAATGACTATGATTAAACATCAAAATATGATATTTAATGTGTCCAAAAGATTTAATAATTATCTATAAAATCTTCATTCAAGGACAAAGACAAGTAAAATTCGTCTTTTAACTATTTTTGACTTAGATGATGACTAAGTTCTTTTTTAGTATTTTTTTTTTGTATTACAATAATTTTCATGTTAAAAATAACATATAAAAATAATCTTATTTATGATAATTATTTTAATTTAATAAAGGTTAAATTGTTATTTCGGTCTCCCTCTAAAATTAAATCTACAATTTTTTTCCTTCAATTTTTTAAATATGTAATTTTAGTCTCTCAATTTTTTAAAATTCATAATTTTGGTCTCCTTATTTACATGTGCATTTATTAATTGTTAAAATTACCTTTATTGTGATCTAACAATCTAACATCATATAGATAACATAATAATTAATATTTAATAATATTTAGACTAAATTACATTTTTAATTTTCATTTTTATTTCATTTTACTATTCTTTTGTGATAAAAATAAGAAATAAATAAAAATAAATTTAACTTGAATATTATTAAATACTAATTTTATGTCATCTATTTAATCTCATATCATGATTAATATTATAATTTAATCGATTAATAGATGAACATTGGATGAGGAGCCAAATTTGTGAATTTTATAAAATTAAAAGACTAAAATTACAAAAATAAAAATTCAAAATTCAAAATTTAGAATTTATTATTACAAATGATCAACCAAAAGTTAATTTAACTTTTAACATATATAATGTGAAAATAGATTGAGTTGAAATCTAAATCTATCTCCAAAATGCATTGAATTTAATTTCTTAAATTTAAACCATCAATAATTTCTTTGAATCGAGTTATAAAAATTGCTAGGCCAAGTCTTTCTATGAAATAAATTAAGTGAAAATTTTGTATTTTTTTAGTTAATCGTACTCCTATTGATAAAAGAAAAAAGTTAGACTGTAAGATATTTAAAAAGCCTACGAGCCTTTATTAAGTAGTTAAATATAAATATTATTATTATTATTATTATTATTTTAAATATAT